CCCACTCCTCCCCACCCCCAAAAATCCAACAAAAAAACCCACCCCTCTACCATCTGGGTGCTTCATTACATACTGAAGCAAATTGTCACTCCCTCACAAAAATCACAGTCAAAGAATTCATTAGTCTATTCCCTCACCACCTACCATTTCTCACATTAAATGGAGAATATTAGTGACCTTAAGCAATCAAGTTTCTAAGACAGAGAGCAAAAATTTGCTATTAGAATAGTCCATCACCACAGGCCTTTCCTTCCTTCATTCCTCCCACCCACAGCCTTTAAGGGAAACAGTTACGGCTCACTGGGAACATAGGGAAACACCTCACATTCAGCAAATTGAGCTCATGCACTTAGCCCTACAGAAGTTCTTGCTCAGGGCAGGTGCACGTGCATGAACACCACTTAGTACATACATCTTTGCACTCCAGCTGATCTTGCCCTGTTACTGGACAAACTAAACCATTCTAATTAGAGAAATGTCAGCAAAATTTGTCAAAAGATTATTTCAGAAGTTAAGAGGTCCAAAAGTCAAAGCATGCTATAATTCTCCAGAAGAGAAAATGCTGACCTACCTCTAGGTGAGGTCACCCAGCTACCCTCCCCTGGAAAGCAGCAGAAGCCGTCAAAGGATTCAGCAGTTAAGAAAACAAAAACAAGGCACTTACATGTATTCACAGCTCTGGCAACATTAAGGTTAATTTAACCTCCTTAAACTGTGTTCACTGTGCCCAGACTATTATTTCTTGCCCTTCAGCTTGAAAGACTTGTCGCTCTCTAGATTCCCCCTCCTGCAGATGCAGAGGGTGGGAAGCAACTCAATGCAGCCACCAATGCCAAACTGTGCTGGTCTGTAGATTATACGATAAAAAAAAAAGACTTGCCATGATAACCTGAAGATACAGGTTTTACATCCTCTTCACCAAAGCGGGCACCTAATTACCTCGACTCGCCTAAGCTTACATGTGCTACATCTTGGCAACATTCTTGTCTATGAAAAAGGATGACACCCAGTATCCTCGTCCCAGGATCAGGACGAAACAAATCCTTCTTCCGCTATCTTGCTAGTAACCTTTTTTCTAAAACAAAACAAAAGAAAACAAAAAACCATATAATAAACCTATTCTGCTTATTTCTTTCACAATGTATCTAAAGTCCTAAATAATTAGAGGGAAAGTTAGAGGACTTTGCACACTCACAACAGCAAATCTTGCCCAGCTAATTTTCCAAATGAATCAAGAATCCAGATCCAACCAACTACACATTAGTCACTTGGCTAGCAAGGAGGACTTAATTTACATTAATGAACATAAGACTTCATTAAAATGTAGTTTTAAGTTTAGTAATATGACAGAACAATCTATTGAAGGAGGAAAGGGACAGGATTGAAACTGCAGACAGTTATTTCTTGCTACTTATCACTAACAAATTAATATAAATTAAAAATCAATGCAGCAGGATAGTGGGAGACACATGCTAATGTCCATGAAGAGAGGATGTGTTAGACCCATCATCCCTGTGCTGCCAGGCACATCACTGTAATTCTGCGGGACTGGAGAAGACAGGGATGAGCTGCTTTCCCCAGCAAAGGCAGAATTTGCATCAGCTTCCCCTCTGCACTTGATTTCCTATTCCCTCATGCCCAAACCATCATCATCTTATGTAGATGGGTACCTACTTTGAATTTATTATAGTGAGGAAGCCTGTCACAGAACCACTCAAGCTATTTGCTTCTGTCATTAAGAATGACCACAGAGTGAATGGGAACACATTTATAATATTTCATCTTAAGCATCGTATCCTAGGTTATTTGCAAGGCCACTGATGACTCCAGTAATCTTGGTCAGTCAAAATCCAAATCATACCAGCCTCAGGTGGAAAGCTGAAAATGAATGCAAAGGATCCGATACGTGACACTAGCCACACACCATGTAAGAGCAGTTTTCCCATTCTTCAAACTTGACCTCAGCAACGCTTGTTGAAGTTATTGTGCAAAAAATCAGTATGAAAATAGTATGTAAAGCTCTTCGACAAAAAAGGGTTTTCCTCACAGGTGGTTAGCATAAAGTTAAATTTCAACAAATGTATTACACAGTTGCACTTACCACAAGGAGGAGGAAGGAAAACTGGTGCCACACAGCTGAGAGAGATTCTTCTGTATGACCTGCAATTTAGGTACTTTCATATACAAAATGCAGAAACTTCACCATCATGGCAACTCAGAAAATATTCATGAAGGTAACTTACACATATTATTTAAACTGGATTCATACTCTTATTTTTTAATCACACTAGGTAGGAAGACTATCTAAAAAAAAAAATCATCACTTTTACATTCAAAAATATCAATCCTCTTTCGGTTCAGTATTGCATTTCTCATAAGCTTATTCTTCTATCAAAAAGGCAACTACAAATACCTAACCCTCAAAGTATTTAACAGAATTAAGCATGTATTTCATTTAATTTTTAAAAAAATAAAAACCAAGTGTCTTTCCCTTGTCAGTAACTTCCCACCCATGGACTTCATCCTTAAATCCTAACTTGTTACTTGTTTAATGTAGACAACTATCTTTGCACGCATACATGAAGACGACACTCCACTGCACCTTCTTTCCAACTACTTCATAGCAACCTAAACATTTAATACATATTCCTTTAAAGAAATTTGAGTGAATTTATTGTATAAAATTATGATTGGCATGGTACAGAAAAGTTCCTTTTAATGCACATTTCCCATTAACTTGTACACAAATATTACAAGTATCAAGCAAAATGCAAAAGTCTTAAGAACTAATTCCATACTACAAAAGTGTTCACATAGTGAAGTTACTCTGGTTACAAAATGTCATGGAAATAAAAGCACTTCAAAATACATATTTGGGAAATGTTCTCGAATAATCAACACAACCTTAAGTTAGTTTAAAAAAGCGAAGAAAGAGATACCCTCTTCAAAACACTATTGTTGATTTGGCAAGATGGAGCAAAGTTCAAATCAGTTCATTTATTGAAGGATTGTTCTTTCCAAGAAACAAACAAAAATAAAAAACCTTTAGTTAAGAAAGGGCTTAATTATACTATGATGACAAATAACGCCATCAAAAAGTTATCTGGCTCTCTTGTTTTCACACAGGAGCTGTCAGAGGCAGAGATGTGTAAATGAACACTTCCTGGTATATACAGATTGCTTTTTCAAAAACAAACCAACCAACCAAAAAAAAAAAAAAATCAAACCCCAAAACAACAAAAAGGAGATAATCTGAACTTTGTTGTTTCATTTAGCTAGTTCAGTTTCTTAGGTCACAAGACCCAACAAAAGCGGTCTGCAAAGGATAACATATTTAAAGAACAAAATTGAACTTCCACTACCAAGGAATGGATAGATGTCACGTTATGCGAGTACCATACATCCTCACAGTAAGACTGTTAGAGGCTATCAAATCTCTGGTTTCCAACAACCTTGAAGTCTTCCTATTCTCAACAAGACAAAAATGCTTGAACCCAACAACAGCCTTACAAAAAGGAGGCACAGTCATACTGTTAGAAAGTAACAAAAAATCTTGAAGACTGAAAGCATCCTTAAAAACTTACACAAAATAACTACAAAATAAGCAATACACTACATTATTTTTATCAGATGACTTGCGTGTGTTTGAGCAATTGAATATTGGTACGTATATCTACATGAAACTCATACATACAAGATATCACGTTCAGGCATTGTTGTTTTCCTTTTGCACACACACACAAGTTACTATCGGGTTATCCAGTCTATTCAAATGCAGTGAAAAACAGTCCACAGCATGCATAAAAGGAGCATTATCCAATACAGTGTTGTCTTGCAAAAATGGAGTCAGAATTCCTGAGTCTGAGAGACATTACTGTCCTCCTCCATTGCTGGATTATTTCTTTTTCCAAGGAGAACCTCTAGTTTTCATTTCTTCACTCTGATGAAATCTATAATAGATTGCATCTTTTAAAAAATGTAAAACTTTTAGAAAAAAAACATGCCAACCAAAGTGAATTTTTAAAGCTTTTTAAAGGGAGGGGGGATTCACTTACAAAATAAAGGCCACCTTCATGTAAAATTGGTACTGCCAGTATCCCATCATTTTGTTTAAAGGAGAGATTTAGCTCCCTGTTCTGGAAGCCTTATTACATACAGTCATGTGAGTTGAAAAACTCCATCCTTTTAAGAATTAAAAATATTATAAATAGGACTAATGTGGAACAGCCCTTTGTTACAATCACCGAGGTGGTAAAACCAATGCAACAGTTAATTCATTAAGTCTCCTTCAAATAGACACTGCAATCTATTATAACTTCTGTATTTTGCCTTTTACTTTGCATATTACACAGTGTAACTTAAAATGTTATTTAAGAGCACTTCAGTCCCACAATGTAGGATTTAAGCTTGTGTGAATACATATGCATGGCTCTGCAACATTTTTAATGACTTACAAAAATACATTCAACCAAAACTTTATATAGGGTTCTCTTTTTTTTAAAATCAAAAGTGAAGGAAAAGCCAAATGGTCCCATCGTTAGCTAAATAATACACTCCAAGTTCTGGAAGCAATTCCAAAGCAAAAGCACATTCAAGAATAACATACACTGAATTGCATACTTTCTCGTTCATCTTTATCAGTAATAAAATTCTACTACATATAATTATTCAGCCTTATAAATAATGCTAAGCAGAAAAATATTTACCTCTGTGCTACTTTTCTCAGTTTATACAAGCATTTCTCAGTTTATAGGAGCAAAGGAAAAAAACCTGAAGTGCAGACTACAGGCCATGATAGGCATAATAAATGACCAAAGGTGCAGCCAAATTTGCATTTACATCTTAAGTTACTTCACCATCTTTCTTTTCTTGCTAGAAGTCACCCCATGTGCAATTGAAGAGCTGGTCGGTTGGTTTGTGCCACAGTACAACCTGTAACCACTTGTAATTTTTTTTTTTACAACTAGTTGAATTGTCCATAGATATTTCTAGGCAATAGCTTAGGTTCACAAAACCTTACTTTATTAATACTTGAAATCACACAATATTGACACCTCCTCCAGAGAATGCTACTGTCCTTTTGTTGCAGTATGTGGTTGAACCACTGATGCTCGGTTGACTGTCTTTAGCAAGCGATGTCTTCATTTCTATTTCACACGCTACAATAGCTGCATTCAGTTCCACTTGAGCTCGGTGAACGACATAAAACATAAGTCCTATGCTTATGACAATCTGCAAATAAAACAAGAGTGTTGTAGGCCGTGTAAGTTGTAAGCATGAATATAAAGCAACTGTTCTGAACAAAACAAAAAGTCGACACGCAGATTCATGGAGGCATCTGTTGACTCAATGCTTTCCAGGCAAGACATTAGAAGGGAGATGAACTTAAACAATGAGTGGCTCTAAACCTACGTATGCTAACAACATAACTAGCATATCAGAACATAGACATTACATAGAACTTAAATATTGATATGAATTGAAAAGATATTTTCTTTCTTTCCATTGCCATCCACATACTTGTTAGAAAGCTATCCCTTCACTTTCTCCCTTGGCAAAAATGTCTCCACAAAGAAACGACATGGTGTATTTCTGTAAGTCAAAAGGGCTGTTTTCCATGTACCAAATGAATAATTGGTTAAAATTGTACTGGGCATCTGCAACTTGCAAAACAGCAGAGACACAGGATGACGCAGTCAAGGAAATAAAACGTCTTGTCCTTGCCCCTCTGGTGTGGAAGATGGCAGAGAGCAGCAGTGTCACTGTGCTTCTAGGGTATCAGGACTAAATAGGACAGAATCAGAGTTTCTGAGTGACTTACAGTAGTCTGTATGGGAAGAACTTGGTTTCTCAAGGATGGCTCAGGGAGGGGACAGGATGTTGGTGGTGTGTGGGTTTTTTGTTTGTTTGTTTTAAGGAGGAAATATTGTCCAAAACCAGGGCTTTAGTTCCAGTTTTTGCTCTGAATTTATTGCTAAGAATTTTTAAACTTTCACCACAAAAGTTATCAGGAATAAACCTGAACAATTTTTGCGTAGAAATTACTCATTCAATGACATTGGTATGCACTGCACTCCCCAGAGGCAGCCTTTGGTTTCAATAAAACACCAGTGAAGTTTTCAGCCGAGATCCTCCTTAAAAAAAATAAAATCTTCAAATAAAACTCAAGCTGTCTCATAGTGAAAGTCCCTTTGAAAGAAGTTATTTCCTCTGCCTTTTTTAAGAATGTTTTATGAAACTAGCTGGAATCTGCAACTTCCTTTCAAAAAACCAAAAAGGTTATATTGTTTACAACAGAACCTAGAGTTTTGAGTCCAAAATCTGAACGCCATTATTAATTGGTAGGACTATGTTTTCTTTAATACTAAGGACTATGACTTAAAACATCTGTCAGCATGGCATAAAAGATGCTAGAATATCACCGAGTAAGATGATTGACACGTATGGTCACAGGATAATTGCAGCTGGAAGGCATCCCCGGCAGTCTCTAGCCCAACCTGCTGCTCAGAGCAGGGCTGGCTGCAAGATCAGACCAGGTTGCTCAGGACTTTTGTCCAGTCAGGTCTTGAAAACTTCCAACGATAGAGATTTCACCACCACTCTGGGCAACCTGCTCCACTGCTTGACTATCCTTGTGGTGAAAAAGATGTTCCTAACTAATTCAAGTTATACATTTCAAAAGCTGGCCAATGTCAGAGTCAAAAAGAAACCATGGACACCAAGTTCTGAATATATAGGAAAAATCCTATTCTAAAAGCTTACCCAAATATTTAAATTTGACTGGTTTTAGAAATATTACTACCAGTAGCCTAGCTCCCTAGATGAGTAATTTAAAAAATATATACACACAGACAACCATGAAGTGTGAAGGATTTTTAGAGCTATTTACTAAATCAAAGTCCCATCAAAGCCCAGCCAGGCAAAGCACCAGGCAAATGCCTGAGAGAAAGTGGGAAGAACGTAAGTAATTCCTCCACTAAGAGGCCACCCTTGACTTATTCAGTCAGGTCCCAAGGATTGCTCTCAAGGAGGTGAGCACTCCTATTCAAACATCCAGCCTCTCCAGCTAGCATGTACCTGAGCAACAGTTAGTTACAACCTATATAATCTACAAAGGAGAGTCAATGTCATTTAAAAATAAACCATTAGTAGGAAAAAAAAGGAAAAGACCACTAAAAACTACTACCCTGGAAATAACGTTTCATGACTAAAATGAAAGCTGATCAAGTAACCATTTATTTTCTCTTTGATCTATTGCAGCTATTTACCTCACATTTACAAAGGCGTTTTTAATACTCATAAACCTGTTCTATGAAACCTATAAATTATATGTTCCATTTAAGAACACACAAGTTTTGGGGAGGTTTAAAATGGTCCTAGACTTAGTTTTATATCTTAGCATTGTTAAACATCAGCTTTATGACTGTAAAAACTGAGGAAGATAAATGACTGCGGTACCAACTGGAAGTCTGCAAACCATGGTAACTGCTGTTCAAACACAGCCTGAAGTACCAATGCTGTCAGAGGAGGTTTTAATATATAATCTGGATCTGAAATACTCATGACCTCTATGCTCGTAATGGCCTCAGACTCAAGGCCTACCCCCAAGATGTATCGACATTATTGTTTCCAAAGTCTATGAAAGCAATCGTTTTAACTTACCTGTAAACTGAAGATAAAATAGCCACTAACACTTTGTTCTGCAATCACATCCTCCATGGTGCGCAAGGTAGTGCCCAAGTATGAATTCAGGAGCTGAGTAGGAAGCAGCCCAACTGAAGAAGCCATCAGGTAGTTGGGTAGTGACAAATCTGTAATCTGAGTAAAAGACAGCGTCAGAAATTGAGCACAGCTCCAACACAATCTATGTGCACAAACAACCGCTCCCACAACCATCCGCAAAACAACGAAAAAATTTCTCACATTCCTTCACTGAAACTTTCCACTGTGTGTGAATCTAAGATAATAGAATAAAATGGTATGTGGCTAGTTTTCATCTGGCCTTTTTAAAGTTAGTAGGTTTTATTTCATTTCATCTTACATTACACAACACCTCTGTCCAAAAGTCATTAACGAAGGATGCAATTACACTGTCCATTGGAGATGTTTATTTCTCCATGGTGAACGGAGCCCTACAATTTATGAGAATTTGCTCGCGGGAAGAAATTACTTTATCAAAAGTGAAGGGCTAAAGCAAAAATCTATTTGCTTTCCTTTTAACATGTATGGCAACTAATAAGAGGTAATTGTTCAAAATGTCACTGTATAAAATATGATCTAGGTGAACAGAATAGCAAATATAATTTGCCTGTGCAAGGGAAGTTACATACCCCTCAAGATACATATATCTATCAGTGATCTCCAGCAGTGATATCTATCAGCGACATACCGGGGTATCATTAAGATTCTCTACCAAAGATATTTTATATCACACTTTAATTAGTGAACAAAACAGTACACACGGCTATACTTTTGTTAGTTTCTCTGGAAAAAACACTAATAATACTTCAAGATATTTTCCTCTCTTTGCTGTGAAATTTCTGTTCTGAGTCAGTATGTGGACAGTTTACATGGGAACAAAGTACACAGTACCAGCTAAATTAGTATCAGCAGCCATTGGGAAATACTAAATGCAAGAGCCAAGAGGCCAAAAGATATTTATGCAGGAAAAATGAAAACAGGAGGAAACTATGGGTTAAAAATGAGTATGAAACAGGCAATTTTGAAACAAGCAGTCTAAGGAATTTTCCAGACGATTCAGTTGATCACATAGTAATAAAACAAGTTCTAATTAAGAACAGCCCCTAACACTGGGAGCCTACACGGAAATTATTGACCTTGACAGTTTTGTACGATGTCGAAGACAAGAGAATAGCAGCAAAGTTACTCATTTCATTATGCTATTCTTAAAATAAACTTTGGCTACTATGAAAGTCACAGTGCTGAATTCTCAGAGCTCTAAGCACCATCAGTGGAAAGTTTTTGGGAAGAAGGAAGGGCAATGGAGGAGGAAAATGCAATGAAGCATAAAGATTAAAAATAATTCATTAGAACAAGATCCAATAAGCCAATTCCAAACTTTACACTGCAAATTACACTTCCCACAGACTGAAATATATACGAGCAACACAAATAATACATTTCCCTCTCTATACAAGATTAATTTAGATTTTTAATGAAAAAGCACTACACATTTATGTCAGAACTTCATATTTGACCGATGCTTTTTTTTTTTTAAACAATTCTGATGCTCTTTACTTTTTTTAAAAAAAAAACCAAAACATTATAGTAATCTGGGCCACGTAGTAAGAATGCACAACCGAAACTTCCCATATTGCCAAGGGAATGAAGGAACTGCTATTAAAAGTCTCTGAAATACTAACGCTGAGGCAAGATTTGCTAAGATTTGCTGTCATTAAATCTAATGGAGCTGGGAAACTTCCCAAAGATTGTTTTAACACTCCCGGGCACCTCTTTCATTTCTGTATACACATTAAGGACGCTTCTGTTGCAAAGCAACATGTCTGCACATCTGGATCTGTCCTGAAGCAACTGGACCTCCTGGGCCTTGAGAGAGACTGTTTCCAAACGAGGGACACACTGGACTGAGACTTGTGCTTCCCACTAAAATGAAAGTCAAGGGGAAAGGGAAAAAAAATTTGCACGTGCCCTTTTAACTCCTGTTTTGCAGCGTTTAGACCTACAGTGGTATCCCTTCCCCCAGAAGGCATAGGAAGTGGACAGCATCCCTACCTAAGAAACCCGAAAAATTTTCAATAAAACTTACAGCTTTCCGTGTCTTTCCTTCTATGAAACTTCACCTGTTCTAGAAACCTGCCAGACTGGGGTCTGCGTGGCCAAGCTGCCAGACAGAGGCTACCGGGACTCTGTTTCTACAGAAAGCTCAAGCCAGCAAAAATTAACAGTGAAGTCCCAACACAAGCACGGATGCAATTGTTACAGGCCATACCGATGTATTAAAATAAAATTAAGAACTACCTAACCACTCTGGTAACAAGACTGTTAGCCAGAAATTCTCCCACTAAGCCTTGGACTGGCTTTGTCCAGTAAAACTTTTGTGTATTCTTTGCAGCTGACACCTTTGGTTCAGTTCTGTCAAAGAATAAATGCTTGTGTCAGGACTTTGTTTGGGGCTCACATGCCTTTCGGGATTGCAGCAGATTTCTCTCCCCTCAACTTATGGAATCCCGTGTTTCAGATCAGGTAGGCTTAGCAACTGAGAGCAAAGGATGATTCTGACGCTCTTTACTTTCTCCAAAAAAAAAAAACCAAAAAACCCCAAACCAAACAAAAACCCCAAACAGGTAGAGAATAAAAAACAAAACAAAAAATAGCTAGCAACTTTCCAACAAGCAGAGTAAGCGGCCTGCTTGTTCCTGCAAAGCAGGTACCATTTCTTGAACTCTGATTTCACTGTGTGCATTTCTCAAACCAGAAATGCACACTTGGACCCATTATTTCTTCCATACAATACTTCTCTCAGAGGAAAAAGAACAAATGTGAATTCTGATCTAAGCTACACCCGGTACTACAAATAATCAGCTTGCACAAATCTAGCTCCAGGGACCCAGTAGTGGGAAGGAGGTGATAACCTGCATACCAGGCCTCCTTACAGACCTGCCTTCAAAATGGTCTGAGTTGCCAAGGGGAGAGGGCTGTGCGTGGGCAAACACTTCAGTAAGAGCTATCAGGCCACCCCAGTGGCCCAGGCCACCCTGGCATCTCACGAGCAACAATTAAGCAAAACCCAAAAAGAAATACAAACATGCTTTCAGTTAAGAAGTTTCTAGGTCTTCCAGAAAGGCAAGTAAACGCATTACGCCAGTGCTCCGACTATCGGTGCTTTCCCAAAGAGCAGCAGAATGACCTTAAGAAGGAAGATGTTCATGTCTGGCTGGTGAGAAACTGTGAAATTCGTGTTAATTTTCTTCTAGTGCTGTTTCAGATAATACGATCCCGTCACTAATCAAATGCTAGGAAGCTCTTCCTTCCTTCTGTACATTCCCCTGCAATTCAGCCTCCCGAAAACCCTCAGCAGATGGTACACGCCACTGAACAAGTGCTTGTAGAAACCCATTAATCCCAGCCCTGCAGATGACCCCTCTCACATCAAGGTTATGCCTTGTCCTGGACCTCATGTGTCACTTCCTCCCTTCCCTCTCCTTTAAGTATTCTCAGTATCTCCAGCTTACTTATAAATATGCACATAGAAAACCTGCATAGACCAGACTGCTGGAAAATTAAAGATGCGTAGGTTTTCTTAAGTTCACTATTCTATCCCCTACTATTAAGAGCAATCCTTTTCAACTTCGTTGCTGAGGTTGCTAACATGGGGAATGGATAGATGGTTAGGGCACGTCAAGTCCCCTCGCATTAAATGTAAGTAGAGCATTAAGTTTTCAAATAAGTCAGATTTCAAAGAAATGACAGCTCGGTCTGTGTAGGTAGAATTTTGTATTCTATAGGTAGCTTAAACTTGACTCACAGTGAGAAACTGCCTTGAATTCCCCGATTTGCATGCAACATTTTTATTTTTCAGTAATCTAGTCGTTCATATTAAATGTTCTCGGTTAAAAATTGGACACACCTTGCCCTATTTGACTATGCTGCAAACTAATAAATCCAGAGTAATAAATGCAACCCAAACTAATTTTAGCAGGCAACATCCAAGTTATTTGGTATACTCAAGAATCTGGTTTCATCTCATTTCCTATCTGTTATTTTAACACTGGAACCTTCCACTTGGAAAGAAAATTATTTAGCTTGCAGTACTTAGAGAATACAAAACACTGACTTACAGCATCATTTTAATATCGCACTGGCGTGAATACTCTGCTGAATCGTGTTTCCAACAGAACGGTTATGCCAGGAAGGAAGTAATTTTAATTCGGTAATTCTCTGGTCAGTTCTTCAGATCCAATACTGCTCTACAACATCTGCTGACTACTTCAGGTAACACCCAGAAGCTGTGAACAACCGAAGCACAACAGCTCTCCCCACTTTAGCAGGGTCACACTATGGCAGAAGCTTTATCTGCTACGCCAGGACCTTGGGCTCCGGGGGGACTCTGCTCCCGGCGGCATGGGTCTAAGCTTCCTCACTCCGGCAGTAATATAGGTAAATAAATAAGACAGCTGAGGGTCTTCTTATGCATAACAAGGAAATAGTTAAAGGATCTGCTTAGAAAGAAAGTATAAGTTGCTACAGCTTTTATGGGCAGAGATTGCAGCTCCTGAGACAAATGCCCCAGAACACAGAGTTTTATGCATAGCAATTTTAAATATTTGATGTGGGTGTTAACCCCTAAAAATTATGTGGATTAATTTTTTTCTTAAATAACAAATTTGGTATTCAGTGACCTCATTTCAACCAGGTGATTCTGCCAAAATTAAGGAAGCACTTCAGAAGGGTACAGGATCAGGACTGCTGATGGGGGCAGAAAGCGTGCTGTAGGAAAGTGGCAGACCAAAACACTTGTTTATAGGGTCTCTTACATTAAAGAACATATGAGTTACTGCTAAACGTTTAAAATATTTCACAATCTGGTTTGCTTTGTTTTGATTTCACCAAGTTAGCAGACACAACTGAGGCATAACACACAGCCAAAACCAGATCCTTCGGAAAAAGCACTCAGGAAGAGCCGAGGGTCTGAAATTGAGTACCATCAGCATGATGGTACTCAAAGTACCTTCTATGTTCTTCTTTACTTCCTCCTTTAAGATGATCAAGGAGAACAGTAAGATCATAAGTTGTAAATAATTATTCTTAAAGAACATACCAATCTTCATCTAAAAGTAGAAAGAAAAGCAAGTCCAACCCTTTTCCAAACTCAAGTTTAAATTAACTTTCAGTACCACTCCAGCGCACCAAGTCCCTTTTCAGCTCTAAGCCTACATCTTAATGCTCTGCCCAAAACGCGCGACCTCTCTTGTGTGCATCGACTTAACACTCTTTATGGATTTGCTACATGTACACTACAAACATCAACCAAACTGAGCAAGAATTTTAAGCTGTCCACTTCTTTCTTTCCAATATGGTTATTTATATTAAGTAGTTGAGGGAGATCTGGCAAGACTGCTTAAAAATACAACTTTTCCTCCCACTCAGATCCCTTTAAAAAGCACTTTAAAACTGTTGAGTTCTCCGCAGATTTTGCTACGCAGCCCCTTGGTGCTTCTTCCTAACACCAGAACATAGTCTCAAAAGTCAGAGAGCAACTCTAATGCAATGCCAGTGAACAAAGCATACCTGGAGAACCTGCCTGCCGTCCCTCCGCAAGCACGGAAGAGCCACTAGCAAGAGAAGGCAGGGGGATTGCTTTTACCCTTGTTGAAAGAGAAAGAAACCAAGGTTTCTTCCCGGGAAAAGAGGCAACCTCCACCAGTGACATCGGCCGCTATGCTGCAAGCCGTCCTTCCAGCCAGAGCTGCTTCCTTGGCTGCAGCCGCTGGGCAGCGGCGCACTGCCCGGGCCGGGACTCACCGCGAAAACGGCGTTCTGCAGCCCGAAGGGGATCGGCGTCAGCCGCGCCAGAGCCACCACCTTGAGGCCGCTGCCGCCCTCCACGACGCGGACGACGGCGCTGAGCGTCTCACTGCCCTGGATCCTGGCCCGCACCCAGTG